GAAAAGCTGCATTTAAAAGTGTAGGTATATGTGTGTGAATCAGGCTGTCAGTAACAGATAGGAGGAGGGAAACGCCTGAAGAGGCAACAAACATGATGCTTGATGAGACAAGATTTTGCATGAGGCATTGAGCAGTCAGGCATAGATATACATGCTGCTGCAGCAAAGCAGTTCTTACTCTTGGACTCATTTGAACAGCTTAATTAATCCTTCTCAGAGACCTCTCAATATGAAGACAAACTGCTTTCTGTTGCGGTCAGAGAACACACATCAAGAATTGCCCCATGGTTATTTTGCTGATGTAGTTTTATTTCCTGCTCTTCCTTATTTCCTTCCTTCCTGCTCTTCTTTATTTCTCTGCTCTTCCAGGATGGAATAGGCTGATGACTATTTCTTTCCTGATCAGTGTTCAGAATGAGCAGAAATATCCTCAGAGCATGCAGGTATTCTCTTGACATAATACTGTCAGGGCTATGGCCATTTTATGTCTTTTAACATCCCCTGGGATCCTCTCAGTTCGAGAAAGACTGTGTGACCTTCTCAGGCCTCCATTCAATCTTTTATTCTGTTTATTTTTACCTATGGGTGAAGTAGCTGCCACTTCCTTGAGTCTCACTAATGCAAGAATTAGTCATCCATTGGCTTGTGCATAGCCTGTAACTAACTGTCTTCTCTCTTGATCTCAAGTTGCACCGGGGCTCCAAAGTTAACACCTTAGGTGCGGGGTGACTTTGGTAAGTAGTTTTTGTGACATCAGTAGCCTGATCTGGATACTTCTGTGTGTCTGCCACTGTGTGCATGGATACACCCAGCAGGATAACCTTGGCATATTTGTTTTAAACATGCACTTAAGACAGAAATTGCACACATAACAGAATTAGATACTATCACTGACAAAACCGAAACAGTCCCTCAAAACATGTTACTTCCCCTCTAATTATTCCGTTTCCTAGCTGAAACAAACTTTCATGCATCTCAGGCATCTACAAAACATTCATTTATGTTTTACCTTGTGCACTTTGAATGCCTGGGACGACTCTCCATCGCTTGTCACAATTCCAGCACTCTCCTGGCCCCTATGAACAAAATATAATTAACATAAAGCACTGAAATGCTTCGAATGAAATGCTTTAACATACAATGGATTGGTGGTTTTCCATTTGTTCTTTACAACATGAAATTTTAATGTAAGCTTATTTGTTGTTGTATTTTACAGGCTTGTAATCAAAACTGGTTTCTTGCCCATGTTGTGCTTTATTTCAAAACAGTCACATAAGGTTTGTGCCTAAGCCCACTGAATTCAGTGGGAATCTTTCCACTAATAAGCACTGGCTCAGGCTCTTATTGCAGTCCTGTTTCAGTGTGGGCATAAAATAACGGCAGATGCTTAATCTGAAAAGCCACTCTGCAGTGATAGTCTAGGCTCTATAGCACTACTCTATTTCTGCTTTGGTTTGGGGAGGGGTGTTAAGAAACTGATGTTTTTGCCTACCGGAATGCACTGTCTCTTCTACTGATCACCTATGCAGAAGCTTTTGCATTCTTGCACTGGTAAATGATAGCAGTCAAGCTATCATTTACACCTCTAAAAGCTATGTGGACCCTCTGATAAAAGTGTTTGAGCATATAAAACTAATATCGGGCGTCACAGCTTCTCAACTCAAGCAAAACAAGTCTGGTGTACAGCGTCACTGCAAATGGAAATACTTCTCTTACAGCAGATGAGCCTCAGGCTGGCAGTTGTGCTTTGTTGAGCAGAAGAGCTGTATCAGCTGAAATGACAGGTTTCCCTAGCCTGCTCCCCGTTCTCCCCAGCCCTGTCTCCACGCTCGGTCCCCGGGCGCATGCCCAGCACACGGGCAGGTTCCCTGACACTGCCCTGCCAGAGGCAGGCAGAATGCTGCACAGCTGCCCAAGAATAATAATTCAGTCCTTATCTATTGAAAAGGTATGTTTTGCAGACTGGATTTTTTGAGGGTAACAGTGCAGGCTGTTCGATCTTCCTTTAAAAAGCTTCCTGAAATAAGGCAGCGTTACCTCTAACAAAACTGCTGCCATATACCCCGCCATGCCTGTAACACTCACAGGGACTTTGGTGGACCGGTAAGCTCCCGTCCACTTTCATATATAATAACGACTGAAAAGCAAAAATGTTTTTCTTAAAAAAGGAAATATTTTTAGGATATTAGAAGAAGATACTATTTGCGCATTAGACTGGTTTAACTCAACTGAAGTCACTGGAATTATTTAGTGTAAGCAACAATAAAACTGGGCACAAAAAATCCACAGTATGGATGCTAATCTACAACTGACCATGCTCCTCACAAACTTTCTCCAATTCCTAAAATGCCTTTATTGGTCACTAGCCCCAGTTGCATGTAAAGCAAAATTTTAAAGAACATTTGCTTACAGAAAACCAAACCAAACAAACTTCACACATATCTGAACGAATTTACCCTGTTATTGACACAGACGATCCTCAAGAGAAAAATCAAAGATGAGGATATTCTTAAACGCATTTATTTTAACTGAGGAAGATGTCCCACCTATAAACACAAAGACTGGTAGTAAAACCTGAGGGTTGATATACTGCATTCAGCAACTTTAAATTCAGATGTTAGTATTACAGGCAATTTCCATTTAAATACTGCCACTGTCCCTTTAAACATCAACAAAAATCAATAGCCAGAAAGAGCAAAGCAAACATCCTGAAGGCCTTTCAAGTCGTTGGATTACATCTTTTATCTAGCGCTAATGAAAGAAAAGGAAGCTCAATTTCATTACCACAAAGCTTACACAATTTTACCAATTTAGTGAGATTTTTAAATCTGCAAGCGTTTTATTAAAACATCACTAGTAACCAATGAATATTAGAGTCAAAAATGTGTATGTATGCCCATCAGTTCAAACCCAAACACTATAGGGAGAGGCAAGCGCGAAGCAGGCTGATCCGATCCACATTACTATCGTATCCACCACCGCAAAGTTGCCGCTGGCCTGGCAGGCCCAGCCCGGCGGCTGC